TGAGTTCCCTGGGAAGATTTGCCCATTATGTCAATACTTTTTCTCATCTTCATATTCTGGGTCATGGTCAACATCCCATGTCTTCCTTTAGCATAGTTCCACCTGCTTTTTGTTCTCAGAATGGTTTGTTCTGTAGTTTACTTTTGGCCACCCCATTAATTTGTTCTGACTGATTTATCCTGGCTTTTTGTTTTGTTTTGTTTTAATTGAAAATTTATATGTGTATTCTTAATAAAATAAATGTTGCAAAACATACACTTGAAATTCAATTTCCTGAAGAGTTCTGGCTTCCCTTTTGGCTACACGTAAGTATCAGCCACATTCCAGGAAATAATTTAAAATATTTTCATCTCTCTATCTCCTCCTACTTCAAATCTCAGAACAAACCATATACCTAGCACCAGGAAAGGATTGAAACCATGTTGCTGTACCATAGATCTGGCTCTTTTTTGATACTAGGGTTTGGACTCAGAGCCTTGCTCTTGCTATGCAAATGCTCTACTACTTCAGCCCCCAGGCCTGTATTTGTTATTTTTTCATTCTTCTTTATTTCAACTTCATTTGTATGCCAGGAAGAAAGAAAAGCAACTGTCTTTAGCATGTGGCTTTTTGGTATTCACAGTGTATTAATCTAAAATGGAGTGAAAACTTAAGGATACATATTTTAGTCTTAATGAATGAAAACTTTAAAAAATCATGAAAACTGCATTAAAATAAGCATTCAAAAAGCAGATAACAGAAAAGTAAAAAGAAAAAAGATTCTGTAGAAAGGCATAGCAAAATAATAAGTTAATATATTTATGTCATTAGTTACAGAAGATGTAATTGCATTAAATACCCTAAATAAGGGTCAAATTATTAAAGTGGGATTTTAAAAAACAGAACAGAAAGATAACCGTGCATCATTGGTGAGGCAGGGTTTAAATATAGGAACATACATAGATTAAAAGTAGACTAGGATGTATAGTAAATATTACACAGCATGGAAGTTACTTGTGTAAGATTTGGAGAGCCCCAGTCAGTGCCCCTAACTGCATTTGCCCCTTGTCTGTCTCCTGTGTCCCGGCTTCAGTGCACACCTGCACCATTTCATTGTGTTCTTTAATTCTGTTCTTAATTCTTCCTGTCTTTTTCACTCTGTGTTTTAGCTCCAGTATTTTCTTTTGATGTTTTTGTTTTTAGTTCATTGGATTAAAAAGACAAAATATGTGGCCAGGGATGTTGACAGACACCTGTAATCCTAGTTTCTTTGGAGGCAGATCAAGGTTCAAGGCCAGCTCAGGCAAAAAGTTGTTCAGATCCCCATCTCAACCAACAAGCTGGGCTTGATGGGGCATATCTATAATCCTAGATACATGAGAATCGTAGATAGGAGGATCATGGTTAGAAGCTGGCACATAATACTCTATCCAAACAATAAAAGCAAAAATGGGCCGAGAGCATGACTCAAGTGGTAGAGTACCTACCTAGTAAGTGCAAGGGCCTGAAGTTTAAACTCCAGTGGTACAAAAAAAAAAAAAAAAGACCAAAAATAGTATGGTTAGGTTAAAATTAATCAGATGGAAAAAGATATACTTTACAAATCCTAATCAAAACAAAATTGGAGTTGACTATTAATATTAGACAAAGTAGTTTTCAGAGCAAAGAAATTCCTAAGGATGCTGGGATTGTGGTGCTGTCTATAATCCCAGCATTCCACTGATTGAGGCAGGAAGGTCATGGGTTTGAGCCCAGCCTGGGCTGTATGGAGAGACCATGTCTCAAGAAAGAGGGAGAGATGAAAAGAGAGAGAGAAGGAAAAGTGGGGGGGGGGGGGTGGGGGAAATCCCCAAGAGTGGAGAACAAATTACATATTGATGAAATTCATCAAGATAGGGCAATTTTAACTATACTTACCCTACTTTTGACAGTCCTGGGTATTGAACTCAGGGCTTTGTACTTGTGAGGCAGTTGCTCCACCACTTGAGCCACTCTGCCACTCCAAGATAGGGCAATTGTAAATGCTTATGCATTTGATAAACAAAGGTTTGAATACCTAAAGCAAAACTGGACTGCAAACAACAGAATTGAAAAACATTCAAATCCATAATTACAGTTGAAGAGCGCTGCCTTTATTTTTCACCAATTGATTATAGAATTAATAGATAATCAAGAGTAGAGAAAAGCTGAATATTATCATCAGGCACTTACCCACTATCTAACAGTTCACTCTATTTGAAAGGAAAAGTGTTATCGGAGACAAAGAAAGTTCCTTGGTAATTCTGCTAGTAAGTGTTCAGAGCTTTAGTTTTCCATCAGAGAGTATACACGTTTAGTTTCCGTTGTCATACGCTAAGGTAATGATTGCATAGTCTGCTAACTTAAACAGGTGTATGGGATGTTGACTGAACAAGTACAGGGATTACAAGTTAGAGAAAAAGGCTGCCACAACAAACTTGGAACATAGAGTCTTCCCATATTAACCAGTCTCTACCATACCAGACCATATGCTTCCTTTCTTCCTGTAATAATGCAGTTTATACCCTATGTAGATGATGTTTAAACTGGTAAAAAGAATTACAGTAGATTAATTTTTTTCCTCTACTTTTTCTGGACCCATATTCTAAGGCTCAGTAGTATCTCTGACACAAGTTGTTCAACCTCTTCCAACTGTTGTCTATTTGTTGATGACTCCTATACCTCAAATCTTTTTGCTTTACTCCAGACCTCTCTGTTCAGTTATCTGCTGGGCATGTTTTCTCTGTGATGTCACAGGCACATCAAAATTATTGGATTCTAAGATAATATGTTCTTCTTTTCCTACCAGAGTAACCTTCCTTTGAGAGGTAGGGGTTTCCCCATTGTTGTTCTATTTATTTGTGTTTTGTTGCTGTTTTCTAGCTTTATTGAGATTGGTCTTCTTTTAATACTTTATTTCAGTTAATAAACATCATATATCTGTTTCTCAAGATAGGATCTAAGGAGTCATCTTGCCTTTTTCTCAGTTAACTTTGGTCTTGTATACTCTTAACTCCTCAGTATGTCTCAATTGCTTAGTCTTTATTCTTATCAACACTGGTCAGGCCACCATCATAAGCCAAATGGATTCTGCAATAACCTAAAAAAAGGCCTTCTACCTACTTAAATCCTTTCTCTACATGGTAGCCAGATAGAAATCTTACTTGTTACTTCTTAAAACTTTTCAGTTTTGCTATACCTAGCTGTGTCCTATATACAAAATAATGTATTAGTATTTTATTTGTCAAATTACTGAGTGTGTCTTGTGGTTGCCATGAAGAGGGGCAGGGCCTCACTTCTCAAATTGATTAGATGTCAAGACTGATGGTGACACAGCTATACTAAGAGTGTTTGAAAAGATTTATTCTTAATGCAATGAGACTTTCTGACATGAAGCTGATCTAGATTGGATTGTGTGAAGGAGGGGTGGGTAGCTCTGTTTTTTATTGTGATTAGGAGATGGATTAGGCTTGCATGATTTGAACTTCCCTACTTCCAATGGAGGAAGACTTTTTTTTTTAACGCGAAGTTTTACTATTAAATAAAACTGATGAAAGTACTATTTTTGAAATATAGAAAACTCAAGAATATTAAGAATACACACAAATTATGTTACAGATTGTAATAATCTTTTGGCTTATCACTTTCCAGATATTTAAGTATATTTTAGCATTAAAGAAGTAAACCATATTGTTATATCGTGTATATGTAATATGCTTCTCCTATGTCCCCCTCATTTTACAAAGCATCTTTCCAGGTGATAAGATGAATTTTTCTTTTTCTTTTTCCCTTTGGCACCAGGGTTTGAACTCAGGGCCTTACACTTGCTAGGCAGGGGTTCTACCACTTAAACCATGCCCCTGACTTTTTGCTGATGGGAGGTAGCAGGAGGTGGCTTTGCCACAAAAAAGTAAATAAAATAGTAACCTTCTAAAGGCTATTTCCTTATTTTATGTAAGTGGTCAATCCCTAGAAATTATGAAATAACCCTGCACACCAGATATGAATAAATTTTGAGTGATTCTTCACTATTTTTGATTATTTATGGAAAGTTGCTAAAAGTGTGGACACAGTGTTCACATCTTGTTTTCACCAGGTTTTTAGGTTTACTGTCCATTAGTTTGACTACATATAAGAATCATATTAGCCATTAACTCATAGGGTTATTTTGAAGGCTAAATAGAGGAATTAATATTTATAAAATGCTTAGAACACTATCTGGCACATTACTGAACTCTTAAATTTTTCATAATGAAAACTAAAATCAATTGTGAAAAGATAGTGGGAAGGAAGAAGACTAGAAGAAGGGTGTTAGAAAGCATTTAATTAAGTATGCCAGTTGATGATAGATTTCCATCATTGTAGCAACATACCTGACATAATTAGCTTATAAAGTGAAAAGGTGTATTTTAGCTCACAGTTTTGGATGTTCCAGTTTGTGATTGTTTGACTCCTTAACTTTGGGTTTATGGCAAGGCCTCACATCATGGCTGGAGTAAATGAAGGAATAAAACCACTCACCTCATAGCCAGAAAACAAGAAACAAAGAGGATGGAGTCAAGGTCCACTATCTCCTTCAAGGGCAAACAATCCACAGACCAAAGGACCTAAAGACCTTCCAGTAGGCCCCACTTAGCTTCAACTACATTTCAATAGTGTTTTCCTGTGAACCAAGTCTTTAATACATGGGACTTTAGATGACTTGTAAAACCCAAATTATATCACAGTTGAATCTTTTTTTTTTTTAATTTAAAAGTCTTTTATTCTTACAACAAAAACATTGAGTAAATCCAAGTGATCATATAGTGATAATCTTCAAAACTTATAAATTAGGGCTGAGGGTATGGCTCAAGTGGTAGAGAGCCTGCCAAGTAAGAGCAAGGCCCTGAAGGCCCTGAGTTCAAGCCCCAGTTCTTAAAAAAAAAAAAAAAAAAAAAAAACTTATAAATTATATACATCCCTGCGTCATTGTGTTTTTTGTGTTTTACTGCTTTTGCTCACAGGATATTTTGAATAATCTTGAGTCATGTGACCTTGAGGATGATGATCTTATGCTTGATGTGGATCTGCCTGAGGATGCACCTCTTGAAAATGGTAAGTTTGGACAATATTAAGTACATACTTGAACTGCTTGATGGTAGCAAATTTGATACTTTATTATTTGTAGACTTAATGTTAGTGGACCTTTTCAGACTGGGATCAATTTTAATTGATATAAAATAGGTTTCAAAATAACATAAATGTTTAGTATCTGATTTTGTATATCTTAGCTATAATTATGTATGATCTAAAATCATAGTACACCTCTACCATAAAGTAAGTCGAAGATGGAGTTTCTTTTCCCAGTATACTTGGCCAAGTTCTCCTTGCATTTTGACTTTCAGAAAGAATATATTTAGAGAAATATGATTTGACTTGTAAGAGAGTGTAATATATGAACTCAATAATTATTTTAAGAAGATCAGTTGGGGAGAATGACCATCATTCTGTCCTTTAACTCCCAGTTCCAGTCTGTCTTCCTGTGTATCCCAATAACTGCAATGGTGAGACTTTAGATAGTCCATATGCAAGAGGATTCTTGGATTTTCTTGTCCCTGGTATTATAGCATTTGGAGGGTTTCTATATTAACAACTGGTAGAGAACTAGTGACAAGCATAGAAATACCCATGGGATAAGGGTTGAAATGGAGATCTTTTGGGAAGAAGAATGATTCAAGAGAGCCTAGGATTTCCTATCAGTCAACATTTGCCTGGTCTCCTGTTCTTCCTCAAGGCCAGGGATAAACTAAGCAGGATGAGTGGAGCCCTTTTTATCCAAGGTACTTGGAAAGTGCAAGGATTTTTCAGAGTAGACAGTATTCTAGCGTCTCATTGAGGTATTAGTAGCTTGGTTCCTGCTTTACCACTAACTAACTCATACCTGTCATTTTAGTTGGACTTTTTTCCCTTTGTCAGAATGCTGTGTTATAACCAATCTAAAAAATAAGCATACATTTTTTTCCCCATCATTTATTGATACTTGGATTAGCTGAGATGAATGACTCAGACTCAGTCTGTGGGTCTGGGTTTAGGTCTACTCCATGTTTCCTCATTTTGAGACCTGGACTACTTTGGGCAGGTTGTTCTCTCATGGCAGATGACAGAAGTGCAACAGGAGAAGCAGAAGCATGCATATTATCTCTCCTAATGTCTTGGTTTAGAACCAGCACACTTGCTTCTAACCATAGTCACATGACCAAACCAAGTCCCATGGACTCACCTACCACCACTGGGAATATTCACAGTGAGAAGCCCTATAGTAATGTGACAGAGGACTTTGATTTATAAATGTGAGGAGAGTGACAAACTGAGGACAGTATTTATCACAGAGGAGAAGAATATTGCACTTTCCTATGTTTCTGCTATCACTTGGGATACTTTTGCAACTAGAGCCCAGTTCTAGTGCTGAGAAAGGAAAATCAAAGCTAACACTCAGGAAGAACAGGAAATAGCAGACCTCCCAGGATTAGGACAGCCCAGAGAAATAATGAGAGCAATTAAGGAGATTCAGTTGCAAAACAATGCTTCTAGAGCTAGAGAACAAGATTTCCCAGCAGAACAGTTCAGTAGATGACAGAAAACATAGCTGTTGTTGAAATCTTAGTTAGAAGCCTGGGGGATCAAGTAGGAAAATATTGTGGAAAACAAGAGTAAAAACAAAACTATTAAAAATTGTAGGGAAAACAATAATTAGACTTGATGATTTAGGAAATTCAACATTAATTTTTAAGGCTGGCAATTTTTAAGGAGTAAGGACTTTATCTCCTAGGAATAAATCACGTCCTAGATAATGCATTTTGATTTGGCAGAATTAAAACAACTTGTCCTTGGAAACTTTATCCCCTTTTTGAGCTTAAATAGGAAGTACAGATGGAGTTAGTCTTAGAGCTTGGCTTATCTTTAGAGCATAACATAAAATTATATTGAGTAAAAGTAGAATCATAGGGAAATTGAAAAATTTTGAGGTCTTGATGGGGCTTACGAGAAGTAAGAGGGAACGCCAGGAATATATGCTATGTTTTTCCTAGTAGAAGACAAACAAGTGTTTGCTATTTGAGTTAAAGGAATACTAAAGAAAGCAGAACGTAGATCTAAAATGTATAGTCTCTGGAAACACCAAAGGTAAAATAGTATTTAGGTTTGATATGCAGGAAAGTGGAGAATGATTATGCTCTTCATATTTCCGAGGACCAAAAGGTACCTTCTGAGCTTTCTGGCAAGAAGAATAGGGAAATAGAGGTTTAAGGGATCTTCTAATATGTGTTTGAATATTGTATTTTAGTACCTTTTAGCTTCTGATTTTTGAAGTTGTTATGCAGATTTGGGGAGAGGTTTGGATTGGTCACAACTTTTAGACTCAAAAGTAGCACATCAATTTCTGCATTATAATAACTCATAATATTTAATTCATCTTTTGGTTGACTTTTCTGGTTTGCTTGCTTCCTGGTACTTTAGATGCACTGTATTGCTTTCATTCTAAGAACGTGTCAGGTGATTCAGATAATAGAGGTGAATTAAGGAAAAATATAAATTCAAAATACTTAAAAGTATGTATATATGTATGTTACTTATCAGCTATACGGAGTTGCTTAAACTAAGGTAACATTTTAATGCTAAGTGTAAATACTTACAGGACTTAAACTAAATCCATGAGTAATATGCGAATGTGAGTTTATAAATTATGTTACTAAGGGGACCAAACTAAAGTCAGTTTTAAACTTTAAGATTTATTTTTAAATTTTTCTTTTGCAATCTCATTATCTTTTGATTTTTTTCAACACACGTCAATCATGTCTTTTATCTGGTAGGATTTTTATACATACTTTAAAAAAATGCATCTGGATATAGGCTAAGAAAATGAAAAGACATTGTTGTAAATAATTTCAAATGCAATTTTACTTTAAAAATTTTTTTAAATTTTTTTTTTTGGGTGGGGCTAGGGTTTGAACTCAGGACTTCCTGCTTGCAAAGCAGGTGCTCTATTGCTTGAGCCATACCTCCAGACTTCTTAATTTTTTAAGATGAATTATTTAGAGAAACTATAAAATGTATAACCACACCCAATGACTCTTTTAATGAATGCAAACAAAATTTCAATGTCCTTAAAAAAGTTCCTTATGCAGTTAAAGGAAATGAACTCAGTGTACATGAGGATTAAACATATATACTTAAAAAAACTGCATTATCCTTTTTGTAATGGGAAGTTTGTTTTCATTTGGTGTACTGTAATAAAACACTCGGCATATTTCAAATTCAAGTTTCCAGTTAACTAAATCAGTTATTTACATAAGTGAATTTTTGAGAATCAGGAATTATGTTAATATCTACAGTTTTTAATTACAAGAAATTCTGACAGTACTTGAACTTTCTTATGTAGTAGTCTTGGACTAGAGAAACCCTTCCTGTTCTGTGGCATGGGTTAGTGTTCAGCAGTATTTTTAGTAACAGTCCTAACTCTGTAGCTATGTAAGCGCTGAGAGAAGATGGAGTCACAGGGCAGACTGGGCTTGCTTCCCACAGGGAGGGCTGGGAGTTGAGCAGGAAGGAAGGCCTGTTCGGCAGTGCCCTGTGTGCAACTATGTCTGAGTAGGCAGCCGGTAACACAATGTCTGTCTTGTACAAAGTAACTCTCTTAGAGAGTGCTCAGATACATGAGGAAAAAGTATTTGGGTAAGTGAAGAAGCTTGGGGTGTTTCACAGAGATTCTTTACATGTTTTTGTGGTATTTGGATTTCAGGGAGTGTACTATTGTTGCAAAGTACTGATTTTGTTTTCAGTAGCATTTTAGGCTTTTTGAAAACTCTACCAAAAACAGACTGAAGCACATTACTTTCTAAAACATGTGAGCTTAGTTTAAAAAATGATTTGTCTGTGAAAAAATGCTAATTTATGCTTCTTGAAATCTGAGAAAATTATGGCACTCATTTTTTTTGTAATGAATTTTGTATTGCCCCTAAAATCTTTTTCCCTATCATTTTCATTCTGAAATTAGAAGAAACTTGTGATATTGATGAGTACCACTTGAAACTGATTGCTGGTATTTGAAATGTTATGATCTTAATTTCAAGGAGGATTTTCTTATTTTAAAATAATGCAGTTAATTGTTTACTTAAGTGACTGTGATTTAAAAGTATTTAATTTAGTTTGAATAATAGAAAGTTCAGTTTTCACCAAAAGAACTTGTTATTTTTCTTGTGGAAAACATTTTGTGATTAGCTAGCATAAATTCCTGGCATCTTTAGAATATTACTTTTATTTTTCAACAGCATTTAATCATCAAGCTGTAAGTAGTTAACTTTGATAGAGCATCTACATGTTTATAGTCTTTTGCTTTTGAATCTGTCTAGTGGAGTGTGACAATATGAACCGCTTTGACCGATCAGACAGAAATGTTCGCCAGTCTCAGGAAGGATTTTGGAAAAGGCCATCCCAGAGATGGAGTGGACAGGAACATTACCACCTCAGCCATCCTGACCACTATCATCACCATGGAAAAAGTGACTTGAGCAGGTGAGTATTGTTCTTAAAACTTAGATTTCATTTTCTAGCTTCTGGCTAATTTGAGTAATACTACCACCTCCCCCCTCCTGCCCCAGCCTGGTTCTTAGAAGTACCAGAAAGCATTTCAAGTTACATATAATACTAACTAGAATAATATTTAATTCTTTCTTTTTGGAATAAGTCTTTTTTTAGTATCTTTATCATAAATATATACTTGGTATCACAATGTATACAAATATTTACCATTTGCACTTTTAAGTTGTGGAGTGATTTTTTAGTTCTCATTTGGAAATGATTAAATATTATTTTGTTAATGTTTATAATTCTTCTAAAATATAAAATTAGTATCAAGGGATTTGCCTTCTTTGGCTTGTATAATAAGTTGAAATTTAAAAACTCTACCAGCACTATTAGAATCAGAAAAAGATGCTATACAATGCTGAAGTCTTTTGTTTTGATGTGTAAGATGTCTTTAATTTGATCAGAACTCATGTTTAATGCCAGTCTGTGGTCATTCAAGCTTAGTATCAAAGCCTTGCCTGGCACAGTTAGCTTTGCAAGCCTAGATAGTTTATTTAACCCCTCCTTACTTCACTTTACCATCTGTAAAACATACTTAATAACATCTTTCTTAGTATTCGAGATCAGGGATAAAAAGTGACTGGGATAGTTAGTTATTCTTTTTATACTAGCTCATCTCATTCCACAAAGGAATCAAGATCATTCTGGAGTACATTTACAGTCCAAATACTAAAACTGAGAAAAAAGAACAATAGAGTGCAAACATGTGGTCCTATTTATACTCCCTAAAGTAGGAAACAAAATTGTTTTTAAGATTCTTTGTAGCAAAAGCAAAGAACAAAACTTGATCTGTTATAATATATATATATATATAAAACGTGCATAAGATAAAGGATCTATTTCTCTAGGAATTATTTGTTTTAAGAGACAAAATCCTGAGAGAGTTTTCTTAGATGTGTTCTTAGAAGGAGAATATCTTGGAATATGTTGGACAGGGCCTAAATAGTTTCCCAAATTAGAAATAGTGATAATTTTCTTAAATCTGTTCCTTAGCTATGTTTTACAATGCAAGCTGCAAAAATTCTGGACCAACTGAGAAAAGGCAATTCTTCAATGGATCATGATAGAATAGGGTCAAACTGAAAATCCTTCTATTGAGAAGATCTGGAAGAATTCAAAGAGTACATCTCATTCCAGGCATTATGTTGACTGTTGTGTTTACTAAATTGAGGTTTTTGATAATGAATGGGCACCAGAATGTTGATGTTGTCAGGCAAAACATGATGTAAAGACAATTTTCATTGCTTAATAATGAAGATTATGCTTTCTTACTCTTTGATACTAAGTTTATAAGAAGGTAAACTTGGGGTGAATTTATGAAGCTTTAGAATCCTAACTAAAACATGAATCCTTGCTTGTTTTTAAAATATGTTCATCACTTAACAAATATTCATTGAGAACCAATATATTGTATACTATCCTAAATTCTCAGGTTGGGTTGAATTTGGAGATGTGTGAGAGGTGAAAGCTTATGGATTGATAATGGTGTCTTGAACATTGTGTTGAAGGTGATAAAAAGAATTCTGCACTGAATGAGCTCAGTAGGCATATTTGCACTTATTAATTAGGGTAAGATTCATGTATTTGTTCCGTTCTATACAAAGATGAGTAGTATGCACTTCCTGTTGCTGAAATTCTCAGGGTCTGCAGGAAAGAGTGGCTTGTAGACAGTTAGAATGCCTTGTTAATGCAGTACAGTGTTGATGGGTACCTAAATATAGGGTGATGTGTGAGCAACTGTTTTTTTTTTTTTTTTCTATACAGGATAGCACAGAATAAGGGGTGTTACTTTTGAACTGATTCTAAAGGAATGACTGGAGAATGCAGAGGAGTTCGTGCTATAGGAAAAGTGTGGGTGTTCTACTCGGAACAATGGAATGTGCAAGAGCTTGTGTGATAGGGGACATGTTTAGAGAACAACTTCTCAGGTTTATCGTAGCTGAGTTACTCGGTCATTTGGAGAAAAGAGTAAATGAGATTTCTGACTCTTGATAGTCAACTGTCATATCTGCAGTTCAGATAAAGGGTGATAAATTTCAACTTAAAGTGAGACTATTAATTCAGACAGTTCAAAATGGGATGAATTACCTGGAGTAGTCATCTCTGTCTTTGAGAACAATAAAGCTGAGGTTGAGTATAGTCATGTTAGAAAAGTTAAGCAGCATTACAAAACGAAGTAAAACTATATTCCCATGACACAACAGGTATAAAAAAGAGAAATTCTCTGGTCAACTAAGTATCAGAATGAACAAATAAAAGTTAGTTATTTGCTTAAATGATGGACTTCCTATTATACCTGTAATGTATAATACTGTGATTTTGCCAAAGGTGGTAAAGTATAAGACAGCCAATTCCCAAACATCTGAACACAAATCTCTTCTATAGAGTATATTTTAAGGCACTTATGATACGTAAAGCATTTGTGTCATCAGTGGTGAGTTTCAGAAACAAATCCACAGCATTACTTGGGGTAACCCAGATAATCTTCCAACTCCTCTTATCTCCTCAGAGCTCCCTTTTCCAAAAACTTCCAGTATACCATGTGGAATTTCTCATATCCTAACAAAATCACATCCTTGACCACCCTTGACTTCTTTGTGTATGTTCTGCTACATGTAACTGAAATCTAGCTCTTTTCTAATTTACTTCTCCCCTAGTATCATATTTACAGGATGGATTATTTTGTAACAACTCTTATCCTTTACTGTGTAGAAGCGGAGTCTTTGTCTTCTCTCTTTATTGTTACTTCTAGATGAAGTATTCTTAAGTCATTTTTCTTTTTTTGAGACATAGGATTGACTAAATCAACTCCTCCCTCCCTGTAGGAGGATTTTACAAAAATCATGACCCTTGGCTTTGCTACAGACCCGAGTAGTTCCATGTGTTATGTTATACACAATAAGTCACTTTCTATTTTTCTCTTGTACAGTTGCTATTGGCTATACCCTCTGGTACAGTGTTAAACAAAAGTTGTGAGACTCAGCAGCTGTGCCTTGTTTTTAATACTAAGGGGAAAAAATTCAGTCTTTTACTGTTAAGTAAATTATTAGTTGTGGATTTGAGAGAGAAAGATTCTCTTTATCAGTTTGAAGAAGTTCCCTTTATTCGTGGTTTCTTGAGTGTTTTTAATCATCAGAGTTAGATTTAGTCAAATATTTTTTCTGTGTGCAGTGAGGTCTTTTTCCCTCCTTGCATTCTAATAATATGATATGGTATTCATTCATCTTCATCAGCATTTGGTGTTGTGTTTCAGACATTAACCATTAGGTGTGTAGTGGTATCTCATTTTAATTTGCAATTCTCTAAAGATACATGATGTTGAACAGTTTTTCAGATGCTTGTTTGTGGTCTGTCTGTATATCTTCTCAGGTAAGGTCTTTGTGCAGATCATGGCTCATTTTTAAATTGTGCTTTTTGTCCTCTTATTGTTGACTTCTGAGAGTTCTTTATATGTTTTAAATACCAGACCTTTATCAGATACTTTTTTGGCAAATATTTTCTCCCAGTTTGTGGCTTTTCTAATTTTTTTAATGGTGTTTTTCATGCAACAGATTTTTTTCCCATTTTTAAAAATTGTTATACTGGGGTTACATTGTGATATTTACCAGTGTTCTTATAACATATCATAGTTTAATTCACCCCCTCCATCATTCTTCTTTATCTCCCATTCCTGAAATAGTTTCAGCAGTTCTCACTTTTCCATTTATATATATGTGTATATAATATTTCCACTATATTCACCCTCCTGCAACCTTTCCTTATATCCTCCTCCTCCCACTGGTACCAACCCCCATATAGGACCGGTTTTACCTTCCTGTTCTACATTTTTTTAAAAAAGGCATTTTTGTTTGTATAAGATACAGGGAGTTTAACTGTGACATGTCCATGTATATATGTATTACGACCCAAATTGTTTCATCCACTCTATTTTCCTCCTTTCTACCTCAGTCCCCTTCTTTTGTTGATTTCAGACAGGTTTAAAATTTTTATATTCATTCTTGTATAGAAAGAATATCAACCATATTCACCTTCTTAACTTCCTGCTTTCACTCTCTGTTTCCCATTAGCGACCTCCCCTTAGTGTTACCTGTTTTTCATAATATTACTTGTATTTGTGTTGGGGCTATATTCTACTTTGAGAGAAAATGTGGCCTTTGGCTTTCTGAACCTGGCTAACTTCACTTAAGATGATGTTTTCCAGTTCTATCCATTTATCTGCAAATGACAAAATTCCATTCTTTATGTCTGAGTAAAATTCCATTGTACATAAATAATATATTTTCTTAATCCATTCATTACTTGTGGGTCATCTTGACTTTCTGTCGCTTAGCTATTGTGAATAAGACTGCAATAAACATGGGTGTGCAGGTGCTTTTATTGTAATCTTACTTTGTTTATATCCTTAGGAGTGCTATTCCTAGATCATATGGCAGTTCTAGCTTTCGTTTTTTGAGGCACCTCCATACTGTTTTTCACAGTGGTTGAACTAATTTATAGTCCCATGAGCAGTGTATGAGGGTTCCTTTTCTCTCACATCCTCACCAATATTTGTTGTTTGGGTTCTTGAGGATAACCATTCTAACAGGAGTAAGGTAGAATATTAATGTGGTTTTGATTTGCATTTCCTTTATGCCAAGGGATGCTGAAAATTTTTGCATGTTTTTGGTCATTTGGACATGCTGTTCAGTTCATTTGCCCATTTCTTCATTGGTTCATTGATTTTTTTGGGGAGTTTAGTTCTTTGAGCTCCCTGTATGTTCTAGTTATTAATTTTTTTTTATTATTCATATGTGCATACAATGCTTGGGTCATTTCTCCCCCCTGCCCCCACCCATTTTGCCCCCTCCTTTTCCCCCCACCCCCTCGATACCCAGCAGAAACTATTTTGCCCTTACCTCTAATTTTGTTGAAGAGAGAGTATAAGCAGT